CAGAGTCACTGTGGTCCGTGAGAACTTCCTGGACGCTCCGAGAACTCCTCAAGGTCTCAACACTCACATCTGTGTTTGTCTTTCCTTCTTTCTTCTGGTGCTCTCTCCCAAACACTGTCGGGGGACCTTTCTCCTGCCGGGACTCCACACCTCCTCCACTTTCCCTCCTCCTCCTTCTCCTCCTCCTCCTCCTCACTGAGCAGAAGAAACAGGAGGAACTGTCAGCCCTCACTTTGAGCTCTTTTAGTTGTCGCACCTCCTCCACTGCTCCTCTGGGTCTGCAGCATCTAGTGTGCAGATCCTGAGGGTTCACTCCGCGTCTCGGTTTTTGGACTTGCAGGAGGAGCGAGGTCATGCCAGGCCAGAACCTGAAACAGTCCCCGGTGCGGTTCCTGGAGCAGCTGCTTCCTCTGTAGCTGGATCTACTTTTTAAGGAGGAGGAAAAATAATCAGAAGAAGAGTGAGAAGAAGAATCCTCTCCCCCACAGTCAGTGTTCAACTCCAAACTTAGATGTTCGATCAGACCACGACTATGGGCGATGGGAGCCACCGCTGTGGACCCAAAAACCCGCTGTGCCCGGACCGCATGGACAGCAAGGGCCGCACCGAGATCGGGAGCAGATCTCCGGTCCAGAGCTCCAACGACACTCCGGGGACATCCGCGTCCACGCCGACCTCCTCCAGCGAAGACGGACACGACAAACTTCTGGGAGTGGACCCGGACTACTGTCGGAGGATTTTAGTGAGAGGTGAGTGGAGGGCGATGGAGACAAAGGAGCAGAATTACTCTGCACATAAAACATCAAATGGTCTGTAAATGTAGAGGAGACGGACAACGTATTAAAGAGAGATTGTTTACAGCGATTACATTTAATCGGGATAAATCGCTATGACGACCGCGTTCAGTCCCCGAGGGACAGAAGTCACCAATGTATTTAATATAGTATTATTAATATTATTGTTATTGCACAGTAAACGAATGGAAAAACAAAAGTATGTATTTACTCTGGAGGAGCACAAAATAAAACGAAGTCAAACAAAACAATCTAAAATTAAATGGAGCCGAATCATCCCCCGTAAGAAGAGTGTAAATAAAAACATTTATTTTTCAAACAGTAATCAATTTTCATTTAAATTCAGTATTATCGCGTTGTCCGACACTGTAACCACCACCATACCCACGCTGTTGACAACTGATGGTTTTTTTGTAAAAACAAATTAAAAATGTTTTTTTTTGTTAAAGACAATACGAGATACATTTTTTTTCGTCTAAAACCATTCAAAAATCCCCGAGAATCAAACGAAAAAAATCCAGGAAATTATGTTAATAAATGAATTATTTCGCAATGTGTTTCAGTTTTATGTTAAGTGGTTGGTTAATCTACGTCGACACTGAGGAATGTTTTCAAAAACCTAATCAAAATAAATACATTTACTATAAATGACCAATGTCGTGATGTAACAAAAAGACTGGACAAAGAGAAACAAAATCAGACAGGTTTTTATGAACATTATTTAGAGATAGAATAACATAGAAATATAGTCTCGTTTAATCATAAAAAAACATTCTAATCTATCGAAGAACAAGAAAAATAAAATAGTAAATAAATAAACTCAGATTGTGATTCTAACAAATAATTCTTAATATTAATTATTTAAAATAATTAATAAATAAAGTCACAACATCTTCAGGGTAGTGTGATTCAGACATCACGATGAAGAAACGTCATCGAAAAGAATTCTTTAAATACTTTGCATGAAAGATTGCGATAAAATGAAATTTCGCCGAATTGTTCTGTAAAAAACGTTACAAATGAATCACTGAATTCAGTGAAGACAAAACTACAGATTTAAAATTATTAACTCTACAAACATAATTCAGTGCGGCCCTAATGTAGAACAATAATCACTAAAGTTTAAAAATAATTTAGGCTAAATTAATTAGATCTTTTCCCAAAAGAAATATATCCCAAATGACCGCAGCTGCACCAGGACTTACAACGAAAATATTCTGAATTAAAAAAAAATATGAACAGAAAATAAAATCAAAGAAGTAAGGATTTTATTTATAACTAAAACTTTATTTATAACTTGGATTTTTTTGTTAAAGAAACAATTCAAAAGTATGTATTTGTTTCACTTTTGTATCAGGTTGACATTTACAAAAATAAATTAAATTTGTAAATTTGTAAAAACATTGTAAAAAAAATTAAAACATCTGATTGGTTGGTTTAACTTTGAAGGTTTATAAATCGTCTAAACTATTTTCTGTATTAACCTGTAACCGACCGTATATTAAGTACATGTTCACATAACGAATGTTTTATATTTATGAAAAGAATAAATTTTTTTTTTTAAAGTTTTAAAAGTTTTTATTTTAGGGAAAAATCAGCTTAACTAAAAATCTATATTTTGACACTTTAACCTTGATTTAAATCGACAAATTAGTTTTATTCAGCATTAGTTAATTCATTAGGGCACAGCGGCTTAGTGGTTGAGGAAGCAGACTCAGTGGAAGGTTTCAGGTTCGACTCCACCAGCTGCCAAGTTACCACTGAGGTGCTGTGAGCACGGTTAAAAACAGAGGTCACATTTGGTTGTGTGCAGTGGTGAGCTGTGTCACAGTGACAAATAATTCACTTTCACTTTTTCTCTTTCACTTAACAACAAACTCCAAAGGTTGGAACAGATGCCAGCCGACCACTGGGCCACATTCCATTTGGTTTTTACTACTCACTTGAATCATATGGGAACAGTAGAAACGGCCTTGACCGTTACTTTGCTGTGTTATAGTCTTGAGCTGCTCCACAGTCAGCGGTCACCGTGGTCACATGTTCCAGACCTGATCACTGTGGACTGCAGGCAGGACAGTGGACCACACTTAGGTTTGCTGTAGCAGGAAGTCTAAGGTTATCCTTCTTAAAAACACAGCACTGTTACCTTCACATGCTCAGACTCAGTGGTTTCTAACAGTGGTCCGTGTTCACGTACTGTTTGTTTGTAGTATTTTTGGAGTCCATTACATCATTATGGTGCAGTACTGCATACAGTCTGGACATCACTCAGAAATCACATCACTTTCTCCTGAAATGTTCACTCTGTTATTAATGTATAGATCTGTGGTTTGCAAAATGAGGGGCAGGTCCCTTAATGGGACATGGATTTTTAGGCAATCAAGTTTTAATTTTTTAAACATTTCTTTTGTTTCTCCAACAATGGATATATAGTTTCATTGATTCACTATATTTGTTTTATAAGAAAATAGAAAATCATTGTTTAAAATAAAATTCAGTGTAGATTTAAAGAGATAGCTGAGAATGCTTCTACAAAAGGAGGCGCTGTAGAAACCATATGTGTGTGTTTGTGTTAATGACCACTGACAATTGTAAACAGAATCAGAGGATCTTACAGTTAAAACGATCTTTAGAGAGACCAGAGTGTTAAATGAGTCAGTGATTATTTTTCAGTAATAACCCAGAGGTGGAGAAGAACAGAAACAGTGTTAAAGACACAGTGATTATCAACACAGCTGCAGGTTGAATAATCATAACAAGCTCCAGGCGGTGCTGTGATTAGTGCTCCTTAAACTGTCCATGGGATTTTTTTGAAGACCAAAACAGAGTTGTTTAAAATTGACTGGGTTTTAAAAAAAAAAGTGTTTTAACTGGGCGTCTGGATTTATTTCCAGTCACCAGTTACCACAGATTCCATCAGATGAAATATTTTTACTATTGTTTTTTACACACGTGACAAAACACCAGTTAAACATCAAGCAAAAAAACAAAAACAAAACCAAAACTCTTTTCAGGTTTTTACATTTTTAAAAGCATTGACCAACCATAAACCCCCCAAAAAACAAAACTCTTTTCAGGCTTTTAAATTTTTAAAAGCATTGACCAACTTTTCAGGATTTTAAATTTTTAAAAGCATTGACCAACCATAAAACCACATGCTGACAGGATTACTGTAATGTTAGCCAAAAAGCTAACACCTAGCCAGAAACTCATCCCCCTCACGAGCTTTTCACTTTAAATGACTGCTCTGAATCCACGTTCTTTTCTGCCACCTAGAGGACAAAGATTCACTGATAAACATCCCTGCTCAGAATCATTCAAAAACAGAAAAGAGAAAGGGAAAAATAGAAAATACAGTAGGGGGCAGCGTCAGCGCCCTGTAGTGGTTCACTGCTCAGATGAGGTCCAGAGAGAAAAACAGATTAGAGGGAGAGAGAGTGCAGGGCATCATGGGGGTTTAGCAGTCTAGGCCTACAGAAGTTGATCAGCTGATCAGTCAGCTTCACATTGAAGTCTACTTTCTGCTCACACACAGACGTTCACACACACACAAATATTTGACGCAAACATTTATATGTTGTACATATTGACGTGAATATTGACGTAGCTAAAGATAATAAGATAATGATAATTATTAAAGGTGAGAATAATTTACCAAGAACATTTGTTCTGGACTCTCAGTGGAAAAGACTTGTCACGGTGGAACAGTGGACAGTGAGAGCGGTGGAACCTCAGAAATAACAACATGAAATAATTCCGTCAGTAAATAATCGGCTCATGTTGAGGCTGCAGTTGTTTCTGTTCAAGGCCTGGAACAAAAGCCACAATCTTAAAGGCTACAGTGTCAGGATCTGTTCCTGTCTGTCTGAGAGAGGCCAGGGTCATCCAGAGGTCAGCAGGTCTCTCTCTCCCGCCCTCCCTCCCTCTCTTTCTCTGTGTTCATGTTCATCTGTATCTACTTTCAGTAAATACATTTAATCATATGGACATGTGAGAATTAGAATAAAATAAACACTGAAACAAGTAGAAATCCCAGCATGTGATGAGTTAGTAAAGTAAAACCATTATTAGAGAATCAATTGTATAACAACACTGTGTGTAGCTAACTAATATTAGAGTAATAGCCCGCCTCTATTCTCTATATTTATATTTAAAAGTTATAAAGTATATATTTTTTGGATTAATCTAGCTAGAATTTAGCTTTTGGCTAATTGTTGTTTGTTTATTTGTAATTTGTTGCCAAATTTTAGCTAATGCATATACATTTATTTATTTGAATTTCTTTTTTTTCAAATTTTTTTTAATTAAAAAAATATAGGCCAGGATTAAGAGAGTATTAGGCTAATACTGCTGTTTTATTAGCCTTTGTCTTCATCTTTAGGCCAATTTAAGATTGAACTGTTATTTACAGTTACCTTTTAACAAGGTAAAATACCTTTTCTCAGCTAAATGTGACTTTCCTTCGTTAACGTTTAGCTCTTCTGCAGCTTCGTTTGGGGCAGTATTCAGTAACATGTGGTTTATGGCATTGTTTGTCTAAAGCTTAGATTCTTTGGTCTTTTTATTGGTCAGGGTTTCAGGTCCTTTCGCTGATTTAAGCTCATTTGACAGCTCTAAGCTGCGAGGTTGTACCTGAACGCAGCCGATGCCTTCAGTGTCTCAAGCAGTTTTTCCACTAAAATGATGCTATCAATATGCATTGCAAAAAATAAATATATGTTTTTCCTAAAACCATGACGGTAAATGACGCCTGCCTGAGCCAGAGGGAGGAAACGAACCATTACTCTGTGTTACCCGCGGCCCTGCTCCGTCTGTGGGACAGTTTGGTTCACTCTGCTCCGGTTCATGTTTAATTCAGCACTTTTTATATTTTATCATTTTACATTTTTAATGAATGTAAAACCGTGGACAAAGAGAGGTTTCTGTCTGAGCTTTGATGTGATAAAAGCAAACAAACCTCAGTCAACTATGTGGAGTCAGAATAAAGGTAGAAAGGTTTTTATATATTCTTCTTAAGGAGATATTGATAGATTTAAATTTAAATAACGATGGCTTTTGGCTAATTATTCATATTCTATATAAATAATTATTTTTATGATAAACGTTAAATCACTTTTATTTTACGGAACTGTTAAAGCGACAATATTGTGAAAAAGAAGCCGAGTTTTTTATTAAAGAAAAAAACAAAATAAAATTGTGGCTCATTTTAGTCCAAATAACAAGTAGAAAAATATAAATGTTTTTAGATAAACACGCGCGCGTACAAACATTATTTTCGTTGTTAGGGCGAAGACGCAGAAAATAAATAAATAAAAAAAGTGTTTCATTTAAAAGACGCAGAAAATAAATAAATGAAAAAAAAAGTGTTTCATTTACGTAATTTTATTGTTTTTTTTTAAAGACACGTTTTTCATGCTTGACGGAATATTGACTTAGTTTTAATTGTTTTACTTTATCTTTTAATTTAAAAAATATCACAACATTTAGATAATTTAAAAAGAAGTTCATTTCCACCTTAAATCGTGAGTAAAACGAGGACATTTTGGTTCAAATGGTTGAAATGTCATTTGTTAATCCATGGTTTTTATTTTTAATTTTTTTTTAATTCTCCCGTGGTTTTTGTGGACAGACGCCAAAGGCACCATCCGGGAGATCGTCCTGCCCAAAGGCCTGGACCTGGACCGGCCCAAGCGCACTCGCACCTCCTTCACAGCGGAGCAGCTGTACCGTCTGGAGCTGGAGTTCCAGCGGTGCCAGTACGTGGTGGGCCGAGAGCGAACCGAACTGGCCCGGCAGCTCAACCTATCCGAGACCCAGGTAAGAAGAACCGAGACAAACAGAACACAGTCAGAACCAGGGGCAGAGTCAGGAAGTTGAGTAGAGTTTATGTCTCGATGTGACGGTGTATCGTCAGCACGGTTTCTGAACCGAAAATATAAATATCCAGCAACGAAGGATTAGAAGTATAAAAAGGACTGGTGACGTTTGGATCTACCTGGATATAAAGCAGTAAAAACATAAACTTTGATTAGTAAATAAAAGCTTCACCGTGTTTTTTTAAGTTTCAGAGGTTCAAATTTCAAAATGTACCTTTTTATTTTAAGAAAAATGGAGAAAAATATATTGCAAGAATAATACAGAGAAATGTGATCTAAAGGTAGTAAAATGAAAATAATACATTTAATAAAAACAACCTACAAATTCAAACCAGTTATAATTCTGTCTTCTCGGTCAATATAAAAAAATGAAGAATTATCAGTTGTGAACTTTTTATTTCACTATTTATTTTAAAACTGATGAAACACAAATCTGCCTTTAAAAACTTGACTTCAGTTTGGATAAATCAGAAAACAAATCTTGACTTCAGTTTGGATAAATCAGAAATAATGTGAATGTGTCACCGTAAAAGATAAAGAAAATCTCTAAAAAGATTATTACTACTGGTATGGTTGGAGTTTGACGGTTATAAAAATAACAAGTATTTCTTGGTCGCACACACGGACACGTTTTCTGCCCCTCTATCCACGTCATGTGTTTATAGTGACGTCATCAGACGGAAATCGAATGAAACTGTACTTTCTGTTTTTGTGTGTTGGAGTGCGTTGGTCTACACGATATACAAATGTACTCGGAGACAAGATTGACGTAAGTTCAGTCAATACATGACTGACGGAACTTTATATATATATATATATATATTTTACACAGACTTTAATCTCGTTTTAAGCCAGAACTTTTAGAAACAATCGAATCATAAAACGGACTTTATGAAAAACTGGATCTAAAAAAAAAAGCCAAGTGTATTTGACTAAACATTTTGAATGTTTAGATCAAACTCAGTTTGTTGACGAAAACGTGTGTAATTCTGACTTCAATGCAAATAAAATCAAAATGGAATATGTGTATTTTTAACGTCAGCATATCTGTAAAATAAACGTTGAAATCTGTTAAAACAACACATTTTACAATCAACATTCTGAGTCTTGAAGTCTTGAAGTTGATTAAATTAAAAAAAAGTATAGGCCTTGAACTAAGTATATACTAGTTTTTTGTGTATTTCTTCCACAGGCGTTCTGAAAATTAACGTAATTATTTTTCATTAATTTATATTTTTAATTTGTATTAATATTTTTATTTTTTTGCCATTCGTCTTTTTTAATAATAGTACCTAAAATATCGTCTTGTTTAGTCGTTTGTTCCTTAGTACTTTTTTTATTGTTTTAAAACTCCGCCTTTGTTTTTTAAAAAACAACTAAAACACATTTTCTATGAAACATGTTCAGTTAAAACTACAGGATGTGGATTCAGGGCCTTTTGTGTTGTTCAGCTCTGCGCACAAAGCACTTGTTGCGTTGTGTGTGAGAGAGAGGGTGAGTGTGTGTGTGTGAGTGTGAGTGTGTGTGTGTGTGTATCTCATTAGTGCTGACACTCAGGGTGTTAATAGGAGCTGGGCCTCGGCCTCCTGCTGCTCCTCACAAACCTCAGCTCAGCTCAGGATTGGCTGAACTCAAACCGTCTGACCTTCGAGTCAGAATCTGCTCTTGTCAAATATGACGCACACGCTGCGTATACTTCCTCTCGTCACCGTCACTGCGCCACCATCTGTCCAGAAATCCAACGAGAAGTCAAATAAAAACACAATAAAACAGAACACCAGACCCCTGCAGAGACCCCCCCCCCCCCCAAACCCCCAAGGCCGGCCCCAACGCCGTCGGTGTTTCAAACACACGGCGAAGCAGCCGGGAACACAGAGAAAAACTAAACGAAATAATTGTCTTCATATCTGCTACAAATACGAAACAAATGCGGGTTTTAACTTGTGTTTTTTCCCTGGTGATTTTACGGCCGTTAATGTTTTTTTTTTTTATTCTTGAATATTCCAAACTTTGCTTAAAAAAGCTGAAACCGCTTCAAAAACAAAAGTTCCTTTGACAAAAACGGAAACGACCTGAAACCTGTTGTTTGTTAAAGTAAACTGTACGTTACCATACAAGAAACAGCGTTCAACCGTTTGTCCGTTAGTGACGTAAACATGTGACACACGGTTTTATTTTCGGTTCACGGTCGTCCACCACATTGGTGAGACGCTTTACGCACTGAATGCGTCATCAAAAAAATAAAAACGAAAGTGTTTCTCTCTGTAGTACAGGTTAATTTTTATGCCTTGAAACTGTTCAGGATTTAAACGCATTTGTCTCCAAATCTTTTATCAACACCAAAAATTAAAACAAAGAAAAATGTAAAGTATAAATGATATATTATCTGGTGGTTCCAAAAGTAGGGGGCAAATCCTTGTCTGGTATGGCTAAAGAAAAGTTTGAGAATCACTGTTTCAATATATACTATGGAGCAGTGGTCCCCAAACCCTGGGCCGTGGACCAGCACCGGTTCGTGGGTCAATTGGTACTGGGCCGCACAAAAATAATGCATAACTTACATTACTTTATTTATTATTTATTATTATTACATTTTATTTATTATCTGATGATGAACGATGTTTTATTTTGAAAGATTACCAGATTCTCTCCGCTGCATCCATGTATGACTCACACTTTATATGTGAAGGTGCTCGCCTCGGTCACATGTCCTACCTACATTTAGATACCTTCTTAGAAGGTCTGCTCTGGTCGTTAACACAAAATACACTACCGCTCAATTGAACCCACCAGGCTAACAAAATGAACAAAAAACCAAACATTTAACCAGACTGCTGCTATAGAGTGTACATATTGTGACAGTGCTAACTTTAATTTTAAAAAGCACAGCTGGATTCACACCCTCATTTGACATGTTTTGGAATATCTCAATTTGAAGCTACAAATTTGAGGGAAACTTTTAGAAAACTGAAAAAAAGAAAGAACTGACAGCGTGGACAACGTGTCCTCTGTGAGCCGCCACCCTCCCCACACCAGCGTCCATCGTATCAGCCCGGTCTTATCTGAAGGTTGATGCAGATTTAACGTCTGCTGCTTTGCATCAAACTGGTTTAATCCTGCAGTTAATGGGAGGAGGCTCAGCCATCTTTAATCTTTAATGTCTGACCAACTGCTCAGTGCACAGATGTGACCACAGGGTGGTCTACCAAAAGTGCCATCTGACTCTGTAGAAGAAGAAGATTTTTGACGATTCCTTATAGCGACGTTTATCAACACCCAATAATAAACACCTTTTTATTCAAACACTCCTTGTGGGGACCATGAGGAGACCTCTGCTGGAGCTGGACTTCTGCTGCTCCTCTCTGACCTCTGAGGAAACAGAGATTAGGGATTGGTTACTGGATATATATATATATATATATATAAAATCTCAGCAGCAGCCAGTGGTCTCACCGGTTAAATGCAGTGCAGAGCTACAGTGTGTGGTTAAGCTGTACACCTCCAACAACATGGTGACAAAACTGAAAGGATAATTTTGGAAGAGTAACCACACGTTTGAAGATGTCAAATGTTTTTATAGTCTTGTACTCTGGTTTACCAACACAAACTGTAATAATATTCCCTGTGAGTACACAGGAGACCAATACTACTGCAGTACAGCACGATAAACCTGAACCGTTGTGTGTATTGTTGTCCAGACTGTGGTCAGACAGACCCTGTCTGACCACAGTCTGAGGCGCAGAAGGACCACAGTGATGATGTGTGACTGTGCAGACGGGGCAGAGAGTCGGAGTCAGACAGAGAGACGATTGTCCTCATGTGAATAAAGACAGAAGGAGGAAGACGGACAGACTGACGGTCAGAGACACAATCACGTCTTTGTTTTTTTCTGTCTTTTTCCTTCAGGTTTGTGATGCTTCACTGGTAGAAAGTGACGTAAAGCATAACAGTTATGATATTAGAAAATCAAATGATGAGATACACATGGAGAGTAAAATAATCAAAAGTCTAAAGTTCAAAAGTTAGATAAAACGTTTTTCACTGTGACGTCACAGTCAGGAAACACAAAAGAAGATGGAAATAAATGTTAGGCATAAAGTTAAGTCTAAATGAAGAGGGAAAAACATCACATTGATGGATAAACAAATATTGATGATAAAAATGTAAAATATATGAGATGAAGATAATGGTTCAAATAAAGTAAAAAAACATAAGAAGTTTGAAAGAAAATTCTGTTTGATACAGAGTTTTGATTTTATTGGGTAAGAATTAGGTCGTAATTGTTTTATGTCTGAAGAAAAAAATTTTTCAATACTATAATAAATAGTCCAAGAACATGATGAGACAAAATTTCAACCAGAAAATCAGAAAAGAAAACTCTGTGATTGAAGTCACAGTTGAAAACGATGAGAAAAAACCAGAAAGAACGTCCAACACTGAGACGTTGGAGAGACGTAGGAGATCAGAGAGGAGTGAGAAGAAAGACTGACGTCATCAGTTGATGACGTCATCGTCTTCATCATACATAGAGACACAACAGCACTTTGTTGGTTCTACTTTACCAGACTGCAGTCATCGTGTGTGTGTGTGTGTGTGTGTGTGTGTGTGTGTGTGTGTGTGTGCAGTGGAATCTTCATTTGACTTGACTTCTTCCCACACAAGGTTTGAATTTTTCTCACACACACATTAACACCGTAGTCGCCTGTTGTGTGACCGTGTGTTGCTCCGTGTGTGTTTTCAAGTTTGTGCGACCACTTTGTGTCATTCACCAGGCAAATGTGTAATGCAATTTAAGTGGAGGATTAACTGTGAGAGAGCTTACAAACACACACCTGCTGATGGAGACGGAGAAACACTGAGACACACACACACACACACACACACACACACGTCAGTGAACATATTTATTAGAAAATGACCAGCTGACGAGGATCAGTGTGT